AGTCCAGTGGAGATGTTTGATGCCATGCCAGATCTTACCTTCAATTGACATTCACACTGAGTGACACTGGAACTGCCTAAATCTCTGACTCTGAGGTTAATTGTACCCCTATAGTTTTGCTTCCTGAGATTAGCTAAGTCACCCAGACCAGAGATCAGAGGCTGGGACCTTCCCAGTCTGTATGCCTCAGTTATTCACTGAATAAACTCACTGAGCGGGACTATGGTTTTAATACCAGACCAGATTTATAATAATACTCCAAGGGGTCTATTTGCATAAACCTTTTGAAGTTGCAAAATATTTGAAGATCAACCATTAATTTTTATGCATGCATGACTAGTCAAGAAGAGTATTTCTACCCATTTTTCAAAATGACTTAGAATTTGGTAAGAGGAAATCAATGATCAGTTTTGATGAAAATCTGTTTAACATAAAGAAGGAAAGACAGCGTTTCTAGGCTGAGTAACCGAGAGAAAATTCCCAAAACATTCATCTTTGAAAGGATCCCTGTGCTTGATGAGAATTCACTGGCCAAGTTTGGTGAAAATCCAATAAAGCATTTTATATATCAAGGGGAAAAGTTAACCTTCGAGGGTTTGATGTTTACAGATAGATGAATGGCTCCTAATACGTTTGCTCTTAATAGAACCCAGACTCTGATGAGAAGAAATTACTCATGAAGTCTGGTAAAGTTCCAATAAAAAGTTGTAACGTTATTGATGTGAATAAATGACAGGAGTTTTGAGTGTTGAGAGGAAATAATGATTCAGCGAGTGTCAGCTTATTTTTTCTAACGCACACTTGATTAAAATGTTGTTTCGATGTTGTGCCAGTTTTTTTTGGGTGCAAAGTTACTGGGGAATTTTGCAGCAGGGGTAAGTACTGTACCAAGAAATTATTTATTCTCATTTCAACACAAATCCTCAAATCCTAGATAAGAAAATATTTCAGAAACACATGGAAGCCCTTTTAGCCCAAACCACAGTTATTACCCTAATTCCAATTCTCTGCTCTTTCCTCAGATTGTTTTGCTTACTTTGGCTTCAAGATTTGATTCTCCTTATCCAAATTCTTTAGCGCTCCTAGATATGAGGTGTCCTACTGAGCTTCGAGTTTTTTTNGGAGAACTGGATGTGGTGAAGTGATGATGAGGGAGTGTTATTGTGCACAACATCCAGTTGTGTCATTGATGATCAGGGATGTCTGGGTCTGCTCACAATCCAAACCATACACAGAGGTGAGAGACCCTGGCACAGATCTCATTGGAGGAAAAGTCATCTTTGTGTCATTCGGGGATTCCCTGCAGAAAACACACTTTTATATTGTTAGGGCTTTTGCCAGACGCCACACTGCGGTGACCCCAGTCGAGTGCTTGTTTGATGCTATTGTTAGCTACAAATATTTCTATGTGTTATTTTACAAAATCGTAACAACAATGTTTGTCTGTGGTTTGTAAACCTCCCAGCCTGGGATTACTGATCTATCAAGTGCAGACTGAGGCATTAATATTGTGTTTACATTTGATATAATAATAATCCTTGCATTTGATATGGCACCTTTTCACGTGTTCGAAACATCTCAAAGCACTTCAGAGAATATGCTGTAACTGTATATCACAGCTCCTTTCGCATCAGGAGGACATCTCAAAGCACTTGACATGATTCACTGTAAAGTGTTGTGACTGTATTTTATAGGCGAATAAACATGGCAGACAATTTTCACCCAACAATGTCCCACAAACAGCCACAAAATGAATGAACAATGACGGATCGTCTCGTGCGGAGGTCCTCAGGGCTCTGTCCTTGGTCCCCTCCTCTTCAATATCTATATGCTCCCTCTTGGTGACATGATCCGCAGACATGGGGTCAACTTCCACATGTATGCAGATGACACCCAACTCTACACTCTGCCTCCATCCTCGACTCCAGGACTACTGCTGTCCTGATAGAATGTCTGTCGGACATCAAGTCCTGGATGAGAGATAACTTTCTTCAGTTGAACGTCAACAAGACTGAGGCTCTCCTGATTGGCTCCCGTCAGCGCCTACTTACCTCAGACGCTGACAGCATCACCATCCATGGTTGCACTCTCCATCTCACTGAGCCAGTCCAGAACCTTGGGGTCTTGTTTGACCCTCAATTATCCTTTCTACCCCACATCAGCGCCATGACCCGCTCTGCTTTTTCCCACCTCCGCAACATCGCCCGGCTCCTCAATTGTCTCACACCGCAGGCTGCTGAAACCCTCAAACACGTCTTAATTACATTGAGGCTTGACTATGCAAACTCACTGCTTGTCGCCCCCCACCCCCCCCCAACTCCTCCCTCCACAGGCTATAGATCATCCAGAACTCTGCAGCCCATGTCCTCTCCCGGACTAGGCTCCGCGACCCTATCACCCCCATTCTCGCCCGACTCCACTGGCTTCCCATCACACAGAGGATACAGTTCAAGATCCTGGTCCTCATCTTCAAAGCCCTCCACAGTCTTGCTCTCCCATATCTCGCCGACCTCCTAACCCCCACCATCCTGCCCACTCGCTCCGGTCAGTGGGCTCCAGCCTGCTTCACGTCTCCCATCTTGCTTGCCCTGCCATTGGCAGGCGGACCTTCTGCCACTCTGCACCCACCCTCTGGAAGTCCATCCCGCAGTCCCTCCATCTCGCCCCCTCCCTCGCCACCTTCAAGACCCACCTCTTCGACCGTGCTTTCGATCTCCCTGCTTCCCCCCTTGAGATTGCACCAACCTATGGTGCTGCTCTCTAATAACACTAAGAAGTTGCAAAAAGTTGCAAAAATCACATTTGCTAATACAAATTAAAATAAATAATAATCCTTGCGTTTAATATAGCACCTTATCACATCTTCGCGATGCCTCAAAGCACTTCACAGATTATACTGAAAAGTGAATTAACTGTATATTTTGTGGGCGAAACGTGGCAGTCAATTGCGCACAGCAGCATCCCACAAACAGTCGTTGAGGGACCAAATTATTATTTTTTTAAGGTATTATTACCCCCCGGAAAGGCGATCCGCCAATTGACTGACAACCGAGTTCCTACTTACTGCGAGATAAATAGAGGTGTGTGGAGTAAGGAAACTTGCCCAACATTTCACCCTGCCCAGAAATGGAACCCAAATCCTCTCGCTTGCGAAGCAAGTGCTCTAACCACTGAGCTACAGGACTCCACAAGACTTATATAACAGCTCAGTATTGGAATAAACAAGCTGATATGCAATAAGCTGATAGCTCCAGGATGGCAAGAGACCTGTTCTGCACCTTTACATCAAGTAATTGCTTCACTCTCCTCTCTACATTAAACAGATTCCCCTTCGCCCAGCATGAACCTCTTTAATGGCCTCTTTCTACATTATGAAATCGTCACCATTTCAGTCACCTTTATGGATGTTTTGAATAAAGGATTCCAATTATATGAAGCTTACCAAGAAACAGCTGAAAGTACAAGTCATTACTTGCCCACAGTCAGGCATCTACACCTTGCAGAGAAGTCTCTTGAGGGTTATATTGTATTTCCGCACAGTAAGATGCAATCTGTAATCACGGAATGCAAAAAAAACCAAAACAACAGCTGTTGTCAATTCTCAAACCTAATACTTGTGTTTTTAATTCCTTTGAGACAGCTACAATGCTTGAATATACTTCTAATAAGCATGGCGATAATGCCACTTATATGCATTCTTGTTTCTTCACAGCTGTTAGTTGATGCATCACATCGATTGCTTTCTACTATGCGCAGCAATGCAAGGGGGGTTTTGCGTGATGCAGTTTGCTAGGGGGAATGTCCTGGTTGTTTTGTGCTTGGCCTCAGTCCTGACAAAGATGGGAAGGGGGAGAAACAGACCAGGCATTTTTACTGGAAACCCCCCCCACCCTTGTATATATTAATGACTGGGATTCACAGGTAAATTTGCAGAGGACACCGGGTCCCCGGGTTTGGGAGGGGGGGAATGGTGGAATCTACAGAAGATGCTGCAAAGTCCTACATAGAGCTTGTTAGGATATACACGTGGTCTGATTGATAAATGAAATCCAATGCAGATACATGAATATAGGAAGTAAAAAAAGAGGAGGCATAAGTACTCCAATGATGGGATAGAACTTGCCAAGGGGGAAGCTGAAAGAGACCTATTTGACTCATTACTCACCATGTCAAAAACAAAAACAATTTGCATTTATATAGTTCCCCTCACGCAGGGTGTGTACAAGGCAGTAACCAGGATCCTGGGCTAAATGGCCAATTCAGTTGAGTTCAATCCCCAGAAGTCATGCTCAAGCTATACAATGCTCTGGTTAGACTAGATCTGGAGGATTGCACATAGTTTTAGTCATCACATTATAAGGTGGGGGCTCTCACACACACACACACACACATATATGCACACGTCTTGTTATGGATAGCTCAAGAGAGGGAATGGTGAAAGTCTAGGCCCCCTACCCAGGTCAAGTGCAGCACGGTTCAAGCAGAATGACATTCCCTTCACTCCGCTCCAGTTATTTCCTTCCAATGATGTGTCTATCCAATCCTTGGTGGTGCAAGTGTGGCCTATTATAAGTTGGACAGCCATTTAATCCCTTGTGTGACCTTACGTCTTCCAACAGTCTTCTCATCTCTTCCAACAATCTCTCCTCACTCCAAATAATTCAATGGGAAAGTCAAATCATGTGCTGCCAATACACACACACACACTGAATTGTGCAAGCCAAAAAATAAATGATTCTTATCCACACTTCCTTGTGTGAGGAAAAGCACTTCATAAACTTTTACACTTGAAAGTTCAGCCTCAAAGGACTAGGCTGTTAAAAAGGTTGAACCTGAAATACAAAATAATCCAACTGCTCAACCCTACCATTTAGGTGACGTAACCATGTTTGATTTGCACATCAACATTGTGGTGATTATTTGAATCAATGTGCCCAGAGACGCGAATAAGTTATGTAAATGAGCGTGGCGTTGATGTCATCTATCGCTGGCCTCTTTACCTGTTGCCGCGTCTGCTCATATTCGTTCAGCTGCTGCTGCAAGCTTTCCTTGTGTTGCTGTAAGAGTGCCAGCTCCTTCGAAATCTCTGCCATTGACTCCAGAAATTTCTGCTGTTTCCCTGCAAGCTGTGGATGCACGGTGATTAACACACACACTACACACACACACACACACACACAAGCATCTGTAACTCTGCTTGAAATACTCCAGAATTAGGATCTTATAATCCTTCTACCTAATTTACAACCACAGATGACCTCACAAATGAAGATTAAATGCAAGGCATTTCTAGCAAGCCTTTACTCTCCATTAGATAAAAATGTATCCTCTTTATCCTGCGACTCCCTTAAATTAACACATCTGTCCTAAATTTGTACAACTTCAGTGACTGCATGATTTAGCTTTCCAATATGCAGAGTTCTTGTTTACAGGTCCCAATATGAATTTATTACTATAATAGTATTTACATTAGATCAATTAATCAATATGAGTGGTATTTGAGTTCAATTTTAAGAACATTTTTGAAAATTAATTACTGCTTTCAGAAAATCACAATTGCACTCTGGAGACGAGTGTTAACAACTTACAGACCAGGGGGATGGGGGACGGGGCAAGAGAGGGAAAGACCAACCACTTAAGACAGCGCTGAACGGAAATAAAACAAAATCAGTAACCCCTTCTAGTTCAACACTATATACTTAGTTTACAGTGTGACATAGACATTTTCAGCACATAGCTGGCATAAACACAGAGCAAAGGCACATAACTCAAGTCTCTATGTTTGTCCCATTCTTTTCAGTAGTAGAGCAATAGAACATGACTTATACTGCTCGTACCACCATTTAAGTTTTAAACAAGTCAACGGTTCTTGCGCATGCAAACGTGTCACGTTGAGATCCAAACACATTATCAACGCATAAAAGGTGCGCTTTAAAGTCCTTGTGGGGTCATGAATCTTCATTGCATTGAGACTAAAATAATCCTTGCATTTATAGAGGCTTATCAAGTGGTTGAAACGTCTCAAAGGATTTACTATCGACAATCGGTGTGCATCAGTCGAAGAAAATTTTCATGAGATGATTTTTGCCAGGTAACTTGGTACCCAAATCAGTGCAAAATCCTGGGCCAGATACTGTTTTCCAGCACCTTGGGACGCCCTCCCGACGTGAAAGGCGCTATACAAATGTAATTTTGTCATTGTTGTGGTTTTAATACAACACGTTTACAATCAAATTGGTGCACAAACGCAGTGGAATCAACACTAAATGTGCAGGAAAATAAACAGCATGAGAGTCTCCCACAAAAGTAACAAACTCCTTACTTCTTTACTTGTGGTCAATATTTCAAGCTCCTCAGTGGAAAATGCTGGGTCATTCCTATTATTCTGGAAATTCTTGGTTGCCAGCCAAGTCCTGTGGCTTTCTAAGTAGGCGTCAAATTCTGCAAAAAAAAAGAGCAAACCAAATGAAGCAGGTAACAATCATTAAATGAGAAGCGATGATTTCCAATGTTTGCCAAACAGCCTAATTTCACAGAAATGACCAAAGGAATAGTGATTTCAAATGGCCGACACAGTGCAGATTTAATTCACAATTACATTTAGTGCGTGCCTAGAAAAACGCCTTTATTACTTTTGATTAGGGTTGGAGTGTGGGTGGAGGCAGCAGCATTAGTTCTACATGTAGATTCTGGTATTACTGTTATTTATGAAGCAGCCGCCTGAGAAGAATGTGGCTCATAGGGTTGAATTCAGGGCATGTTGTGATAGATGATTGGTAATGCACTATGGCTATGTCTACACTCCAATGACGCAATCAGTCTGTGGCCTTTCAACCTCAGTTTGGTGCTGCACAACTTCAGCCAATATAACAAGCAAACAAAATGGCAATGAAAGTAAATGCACAACAATAATCTAGGGGGTGCTACACTTAGGTCGAGCTGTTATTGCACCATCAAAACACGGAAATGGTTTTACAGATTACCTGTGCGACCTGCTAAAACGTTACCAACCTGTTGGCTTCCTCTGCTCAGCATGCGCTGGGCTGCTCCAGGTCCCCTGCCCTGTCCGCCCCACCATCGGCGGTCGGGTCTTCAACCTTTCTGGCAACTCCATCCCGGAATCCCTCCACCTCACCCCCTCCCTTGCTTCCTTCACAGTCTATCTCAGGCCCTTCCTCTTTGACCGTGCCTTTGGTCATCCTCCTACCTCCACCCACTTGCCCTCCAGCCCTCTTGACTTCAACCCCCAGCTCGAGTGCAAACCCTACTCTTTGTCCAGCGCCTTGAAACGTACTTCTGATGTGAAAGATGCTATATAAATGTAATTTGTTGTTGTTGTTGAGAATATACATGAAACTAGGCAGTTCTTTAATGGAAAGTTTTTTTCCCCCATGGAGTTCATTAGGATTATTCAAGACAATTTTAAACCACATTGCACATTCAGAAAGATCATCATTCTTAAATGCTGCTAGTCAGGTTATGGGAGGAACCTATTGAAAAATGTAATCGTACCTTTTCTGTCAAGCAAGTTGGCCAACATTGCTGAAAGAGGTGGATTGAGGCCTGGAGCCAAACTATAAAATCTGGCCAATTAGAGAGAGCATGTCAAGGAAGCTCCCAAAGTGGCCTTACTTACCACCAGAGGACCGTACTTAGTACAGGCTAGGAAAGGACTGGAAATTACTGAGCAACACCCACTGAGGCATTCTTGCACTGACTAATTTGAGAACAATGTAGCAGCCAAAATGAGTACCCAACCAATACTCTCTGGCACCCAACAGCGATGTAAAAGGAAGGCTACATTTCAATGAAGGTCATCAGAGATCAATAGCATTTTCTGACAAGGTTTAGAGTTGCAAAGGGGCAAATATTAATATTACAGAGAGTTTAAGCTAGAATCATAGAAAGTGTACAACGCAGTAGAAGGCCATTGTTGTCAGTAACATCCAGGAAACATGTCCACTTTGTAAGACAGCAATCAATCGACCCTTTTGTTAAAATAAGTTTCACTTAAATCCTTCAATGAAATCCGAAAAGTTAAAATATGTTTTTTTTTAAAAAGCTGTAATACTGGTTTAATGGCACTGCAATGCAGTAGTAGAAATGATTGAACCCTTGTATCAACACACAGTGAATTGCTAATCTTTGGTCCACCATTAAAGGAAGTTGCCAAGCAGCGAATGGGACCACAGGGAGAGGGGTAGAAAACAGGCATGCAAATAATAGTAATAATAATATAATAATCCTTGCATTTGATATTGCATTGACAGCAGGTAATCAACATACATCTCCTGTTGCTTGCTACAAATGGGTAGAAGCGGGAGAGAATAATTTATACGTGTTAAATAAAGCATTGGTGGTGGTCAAGTTTATCTGTGTTAAATATGTTTTTATGTACCAAGAACAAGACTGATCCACAGGTAAACTGACCTTCAAGCACATTGTTCTGAACTTGCAGAACCTGATGTTCAAGTTGTTTTGTGGCTTCAATATACGAAAGTAGATGAGCCTGCAACAAGAGAAAATGGAGCGTAAGGTGAGGAATGAAGATTGATAGTGTTTAAAGTTATTGTGAAGTGATTCAAAAGAGTTTATGTTAATAGAAAGGTCAAAAAGGTGTTTCCACTTGCTGGTGAGAGGATATAAATATAAGATAACTAGTAACACATCTAAAAAGGAGTTTAGGAGGAACTTGCTAACATACAGGGTGGTGAATACCAGAATACGCAACCTACCATTCCTCCATCACAACAACAACAACAAAATTACATTCGTAAAGCTCCTTTCACGTCGGGAGGACGTCCCAAGGCGCTGAACAGTCAGGGATCAGGACCCGAGCGTAGGGGGGCAGGGTTGGGATGAGGGAGGGCAGAGGGGTTAGGAGGGAGGCTGAAGACACAGTTGAAAAGATGGTCCTGAGTCGTGCCTTGAAGAAAGCAAGAGAGGGAGCAAGGCGAAGGGATTGTGGGATGGAGTTCCAAAAGGTGAGGGTCCACAGTGTCCTGGCCTCAATGACCCTTCCAGGCAATTGTTCCAGTTGTTAATTGTCCTCTGTGTAAACTTACACTTCTTGATGGCTGTCCCGAAATTGCCCTTTGCAAACTCTACACCTACGTTCTACTATCCTGGTGTATCCTAAAGTATTATTCTGGGTTTCCTTTTTCATTTAAATCCATTTAAAATGCTATACATATTTATGGGTCATCTTCTCTCAGGACTGGTGAACCTTACAGCTTCTCTAATCATTGCTCCTAACTCAGTATCACACTATACAATTACAGAAATTGCAAAACAAGGCTAGTTGGCCCATTGAGCCTATGCCGGTCTTGCTCATCCATCAAACTCTGGAACTCTCTCCCTCAATCTCTCCACCTGGCCCCTTCCCTCCCCTCTCTCAAATCCCACCTAAAGACCTTCCCTTTTGATCGTGCTTACGGTCACCTCCCCACTCCCATCCCCTGGCTGGGTGTCAGACTCTGCTCTGTCAAACACTCAGGGTCGCTACCCTGTGTGAAGGGTCCTATATAAATCCAAGTTGTTGTTCCAATCTCAATGCCCTCAACACTCTCATTTCAATTTCCGTACTTTTCTGATTATTTTTCTTCAAATACCTTTTCAATTCCCTTTTCAATATTGGTATGATCTTCGCTTCAAACCCCAATTCCTAGTAAACCTTTGCAATAAGACATTTTTTCTAATGGTTCCCCTGAGCTCTTCAATGATGATCCTGTTTATGCTCCCTTTTTACCGATCCATCAACAAGTAGTCAATGTCCCACGATTTATCTGATCAAAACCTATCAACTATCTCACAGCACTGAAGGGAAACAACATCCAGTCCCAAATAGCAGCAGAATATTCAAACAAGAATAATAGGCACAACACAGAATGTAATTAATACACAAAACACGCACAGTGTTGCCTCCACACAAACTCAATCAAAGACATTTGTACAAAATGCCGATCAAACCCAGGTGAAGGATCAAATCTAGGATCAAGAAAAATTTAAAGTGAACAGGTGGAGAAGTGTAACAACCACTCACTCCGAACACCACAAAGGTGGAGGTTTGAAGTGTACATCAGCCTATAGGAAATTGCTCATAAAAATAATAATAATCCTCGCATTTGATATAGCACCTTATCACGTCATCGAGATGTCTCAAAGCGCTTCCCAGGATACACTGTAAAGTGTAGTGACTGTATATTTTGGGGGTGAGTCTATTGCAACGCAGTGAAATTTCTCTAGGTGTTCTACGCACTCAGCAACAACTGATGCGACAGACATCTGTCCTTGCAAATGTAAGCTTTATCCGCACTCTATTGTTAACGCACTTAATGTACCAAAACAAAAATCCATTCATAGCTAATTTCCACCTAGTTGTTGGTGGGAACTGTTCATTCTATAGTATCATTGCTTCAAAGAGACTATTCAACACTACATGATACACACACACATATATATATATAAGTAAATATCAGACTCTTGGTTAACCCGGGCGATAGATATTGCTTTCAGCACATTCATTAAGAATCAACATTTACAATTTTTCACCAGAAGGATTTATTCTCAAAGCAACTTGTCTTCTGTTTTAGTCTTTTTATTGCTGTTGCCATTGCCTTAGATGGTAATATTTCCCCGCCAGTCTCCAATGAACCCTTTGGACATATTTCGAATGGAGTCTGCAAGATCCGTGTTCAACCCAACTGCAGTGAACAGCAGGTTTCCACAGGTTATTACTGTCATATTTTGTGCTAAGTCATTTTTAACATTTACACTTAACAATCCAATCTCAACATTAAAAACAAACAACAAAACCATAATTGTTGACCTTTTCAATATTACATGACTGCAAATTCATTGTAGATGGATTCCTTTCAACTCTTACTCACAGAGAAAACTCAATAAAACAAGAAACACAGTAATACAATGCTATCCTTTTACCTTTGGGACCTGGGTTTGGTTTGATTCCAGGCTAGACTGAAAGGATTAAAGCCTTGTCTTTCTTTGTTGTAAAGGTTTTAAGTGGAATAGGTTTGCGTAGTCTCAGTCCATTTCCTAGCAGTCCCACAGCATAATACAGTTCATAATTTGGCAATGAAATTTGGGGGTGTCAATAGCACAAGAATGCTACTGTGGGAAATGTAAAAAAAAATCACACTTTTCTGAATTAGGCTCGCAAAAGAGCAGATGGATTTTTTACTCCGTGTTTATATGTGATATTTATGATCTAGGACCAATGCTTAGCACTGGCTTAGAGTCAAGCGATGAGAATACTTCATTTAGTTAAATAGTCAATTTGACATTGCATTAGTATGGCCTGAATGTCAACAATAAAAATAATAATGATTCTTGCATTTAATATAGCGCCTTATCACATCTTTGAGATGACTCAAAGTGAAATACAATGTATTTCAAGGTATAAGTATACAAGGTATAAATCGAAGAAAGCAAAACCACAGCCACAAAATTGTAGGTAGTGAGACACTCGTTTTCATGTCAGTCAGTGTCTATTAGGAGCATATTGGTTTATTTATAATTTTTCCTTTTGTTACTCCCCAGCATCAAATATGCCATCCAACATGTCCTTCCTCCTCCTTTACTGTCCTTTACTCTTGTCTTAACTCATTGTTTCCCCCATTACTGAAACTCCCTACCTCCGTCCTTCACTCTTCTCAAACTCCTACAATTGGCAGGCTTTTAAAACTTTAGAACCAGAGGATTTATTTTGAGTTTGCTGGAAGTGAAAGATGTGACAGACACAGTGAGTACAAAACTTTACGCCTGACTTAGTGTAGAACAGAACTGAGCAATGGAGAGAAGCTCTATGCCAAGGTCATCAAGATTGGAGTCAGAGGAGAAAAGTGAGCCAAGGAGGTCAGAGTTTTGTTTATTAAACCTAGCAAATGAACCATCTGGATGGAAGAGTGATAAATAGAAGGATTCACAGCAGTTTCAAAAGGCAGCTTTGGCAAAGAACCAGAAAGAACAAGTCCTGGAGGGACAGGAAGACAACAGTTTATGTTTCTTTTCAATAAAGTTATTATATTTAGTGGTCTTAGTAAGATTACAACCAGATAGGCTGGGATGCGCCACGAGAAATAAGAAGAAATTACAAAGCGGTCAGTATCATTGAAGCGTGAAACAGTATCTGTTGAAACGGCTATGGGAGAATGGGATATGGAATCTTCTCTGCCAGCTACCTCTGATTTCCCTTTTAGTAAAGGCAGCTTTACCAGGGTCAACTTTAAACATTTGTGTTTAAACGCTCCCTGTTTTACATGAAGGCAAAACAGTTGTAGCTCATTGAGTCAGCACACCGATCAGTCTGCTGATCACAACTGAAACTAACCTGTACTACAATTCTGCCAACTGTTTAACAAATGATTCTCATTTGCCCAGCGTTCCATAATCTAACCTCAGATCAAACTCAGTTTAATGCGAATGGTTCCATTCAGATTGAATTCAACCACATATTCAAATCAAGGCAAAGTTCTGTCACTCTAAGGTGAATTGACTGCACCCATATTGTGCTGCACAGTATTTCAAAGCCCTATTTATTACTTCACTACTGTAACGTGATTTTAAGTGCGATTGAAATACATTAACCTTTATCAGATGCAGCACACATTGAAACAGCATTGTGGAGATTCAGTTTGCATCCTCTAACTAGTTAGGAATCTGTACTGTTAATAGCTAATGAAGAAAGGAAATTCAAATAAATTTAGGCAAAACAGGCTTGGTTTGGCAACTGCTAAAGGGTGGTAATAAGAGAGAAGGATTATTCCTTGTAAACGACACAGCCAGCTATTTTTGTAATGATCGATCTATCAATGTATTGTCTTGCTTGTTTATACTTCACTCACTCGATCGCTCACTCACCAAGTGGTACAAAATGTTGTTAGAAGAGTCTAATTTAAACTCATCCTGCTTTTTTGATACCAGAAGATGACTAGCAAACAGGAATCTGCGCCTTCAAGAGAGGACAAGGGAAGAAAATTGGCAAAAAAAAGGATAATGACTAAATGTCAGTGATCTCTCACCTTTGATGTTTATTTACTTTAAGTCACGACAAATTATTAAGTCTTTCAATTATCCTGGCTTTTGTGACTTTAATGGTGTGTTATCACCCTAAAGATGCCCTGTTGGCAACAATCCCATGTTCCTTTCATGTGTTTTGTATTTTACAGATTTCTCACAGTATTTACGGAACAAATGTAAAGTATCCTTCACGACTAGAAAAAGGAAGCAAATGGGACATGAAAAGAAAACATCAAAGTAGATACACTGGAGTGTAGGTTTTCAGATTTGTCCCTGAGTGAGATGTCAAAATAAAACACAGGGGATTATCTTTCTTTATACCCTTTAAAATACCCTCAACAAGATACACTTCTGTTTCATCGAAAAAAAATATCAGTTACATGTCTGTTGTAGATGACGATTAGTGTTTGAATGCTTTTCAAACACTCTGTTGTTTTACCAATAAAGATGACACCCTTAAAAATGAAAATTTAATTTAAAGTATCAATTGGATGACTGAAACCAATCCTTTGCTGCGCAAACAATATCTACCAGAATAGCCTTATTGAAAAGGTACATTTCCCTTGAAGTATGTTAATTGCAGTAATCTTGAGTTCAGATTGACTGGGACACTAACCCCGAGCCTTCCCATGAGGAATGCAGTTTTGCTCTGGGTCTAATGCCGATTTCAGTTAAAAGGATTGGTTGTATTCATTTGCCCTTTGGCTGGCAGCAAAATATAGGTATGAATGCCAGCAGGCAGTCTCCTACATGACAGTTTATTAATATTAAAGGGTGTGGAAAAAGAGTAAGGGGATGGGATTAGAGAAAAAATATCTCCAGTGTGGGAGAGCCAGCACCAAGAAAAACACAATGGGCCAAATGGTCTCTGGAGCTATAAACTTTTTATGATTCAGATTCTTTATGCTAGGTGTATGAATTTTTTTTTGACTCAATTTATTAGTTCAAAATTTACCATGCGCACATTGTATTATGGTCAATACTCAATACAGAACAAAGCAAGTCAAATACAAATCAGTTTCCCCCCCCCATTTTTCCACTGGACAGTCATTGAATAGAACCAACAGTGTCTGTGGAATAATCAATGGAACAAGAGAACAAGAGGCCAGGATGTTGTAATCTGTCCATATTTCCCCATGGGAAACCTAAAAGAAACAATGCATGATTCAAAAAAGAAAAAAATCTTTAAAATAGAAAATAAGCAACAGCTGGATATTTGCAGAATTTGGCAATCCATCACAATTTAAATAAATTATTCTCCAATCTTAATCATACTTGGTATCCAACAACAACAACAACAAATTACATTTGTATAGCGCCTTTCACGTCGGGAGAACGTCCCAACAACTAAACATATCACTATCGAGCAGCTCATTTCTTTCTCGAATTGAATCTTTGAACATTCATTCTACCTACAAAACAAAAGACACTGCCAGCAAAGATTATATCCCTCGTCTGTCTTTCAGTGAATAATTCTCAGGCTTGCAGACCTGTCAACAGCCTGGCCCTGTTGGGAGAACTCTCGCCTCCGAGTCAGAAGAGTGGGAGTTTCAAGCCACCCTTGGACTCACATAGTTTAAGCTAACAATCCAAAGGAGTGTTGGTAGTTTGCTGCAATGCCCAAGTGCTGGCTTTCGGATGAGATGTTAAATTGAGATCCCATCTGCCTGCTCATGTGGAAGTCAAAGATTCCACGATACTATTTGAAAAGGGGAGTTTATTCCCCAGATAAAATTGTCCATTTGACCATAACAGCAGGAGCCCTAAACGTTTTAGCCAAACTGTGAACTCATTTCCGGGAGACTATTTAATAATAAAAAATAATTTGGTCATTTCGATCCATGACCCTTTGTGGGACACTCTGGCTGCCGCGTTTCGTCCATAAAATATACAGTCAATCAACTTTACAATATATTCTGTGAAGTGCAATCAGATGTCTCAATGACCTGATAAGGGTCTATCTCAAATGCAAGGATTATTTATTGATTTTATTTGTTTACTTATTCACTTGCTCATTGTTTGTTGGACACTGCTGTGTGCAAATTGGCTGCCAAGTTCACCTACAAAATACACAGTCACTATGCTTCACAACAAAATCTTCTGAAGCACTTTGAAACATCTCCACAATGTGATAAGGCGCTATATCAAATGCAAGAATTATTATCATTATTATATAAGTATTATTGTAAATTATTGTTTGCAGTTTTACACCCTTGTGAGTGCAACTCTGGACAAAAGATTAACTTTGAAAGAAATGTGAAAAATACCTTTTTCGGAAATTATTCAGAAATATTTCTATTTAGGTTAATTTTTTCTTTTCCTGCTCATCAAAGTGAAAGATATCAGTGATGCAGAAAGGAACACTTCTCCATTAGTCATCATCGAGCACCGACAGGTCAGGTACAGAACAGCCAGATACACAGTAAAGCTCTGTCTCGAACAATGTGCCCTACCTTAACCTCAAATAAAATATTTTGTTACAAATTCCGAATGGCAGGATGTCAAGTTGCTAGAAATATAAATTAGTTTAAGGCAAGCTCTAACAATACACGATTGTTGGGACTGCACCTGCCTATTTAATCAAGATTGGAAGATGCGTCTGGAGGTGAAACTAATTCACATTAAAATATTCGGATGTATTTAGGCTCCTCCTTCAATCGAAATAGTCCAGATAAAAATAAAATCATGTAAGTGGTTTTCCTTTTATTTAAGCCATACTTGTTTACACACTGTTAATTGAGTGACTATTAAATTTATTGCTTTTGAAAGTTGGCCTTGCACAGTTTACAATTATGTTCTCCTTACCAATGGAATAAACTGCAAGTTTAATGGTTTACTGTCGAAAATCCTCTACATAAATCATTGCTAATAAACGTCTAGCGCACAGTTTAAAATGCTCTCTCGCTAATGAGAAACACAGATGTATTACAGCTTGTATCTAACAAATGAGCTCCTTTAAGAATAGAACAATACTAGATTGCTGTCATATGGCATGTTCCAAAATGATTTATTCATATCCTTTTTATACTACCTGCCATAAAAATCATCTGTATTATTACGGCAATTATGCTCATTCACCTGAAGGGTAGAATAAATTTGAACAAATCAAAAATGTTAATGTTTCTGGGTTTGATTAAACAGAAATCGCTCACTTTCTTTGTTGCTACAACTGCTTTTCTGTTCCCGGGAGTTGTTGTGGAACTTGCTGACAATGAGTTTCTCTTCTTTGTTCCCCTGGGTTGCTGGAAATCTACGCAAGATAAAACAAAAAGTGGCAAAAGATTACTGTACATTCGTAAACTTAGATGAGATACAAAATCTCAATCCTAAAAAACATTGCAAACAGTTTTAAATAGAATATGCTTTTCGATTAATGGATATGAGTTGTCCCAATGACATTAGTGGTAGAGTACAGCACCGTGTAATGCAAGATCCAGAATCAAATCACAGCCTCAAAGAGCTTTTTGTGTTCCAGATTTCTCTCCTCATATTATATAACTGTTTATCTATAAAATATACTTATTACATTTTATTGTACACCTGTGAAGTGCTTTGAGACTTGCTCCTGATGCAAAAGGCATTATAACCAATCTATGACTTATTACTGTTGGGAATCTTGGCTTGGTCAAAAGTTAGAGGAACGAGTGGAAACTGGATGGCTACAAATAAGGAAGGGAAGGAAAATAAGTGGGAATTGATCTCGGTACTGGGCCCCTTACTGATCGGCACTAGTGGAGAACGGCGAGAGGTATCAACTACCTTCTTAACTCAAGTTTCAGGGTAAATGCTCTCTGTTGAGGATAGGGCACTGAGGATTATAGAGACAACAACAGAAAAAGACAGCCACATCCTCAAGGGATAGAGCGACCAATCTGCTGGGACTATGCGTGGCAACCTGCCAGAGATGAAGGGGGGAATACTGGAGCAATGATAGGTATCTAATTGATTGTCTTTCGATATTAGGGCAAGATTACAGTGAGACAGGAATCATCCAGGTGAGTAGATTCTGTGACGGATTAGACTGGTAGATTACTGTAGAAGTAGTGTTTGTACAGGCCGAAAGGGATTTTCTCCCAATCTATGTTTTCTTCTGTTCTTCTGAATAACCAAAGAAGGAAACGAGGAATAAAATGTAGAAAAGAAAACACAAGAAAACAATGAAAACTACTTTATGTCCAAAATTTACATGATAATGGCACAGATCATAATCAAATACCAGCTGAACCAACAAGCAAGCGTCAAAGAGTAAAAACGATAACTAATTTACAAATACAATATAACTTGATTTTGAATTAGGTACTGTCAATGTTGGGCCTGAAATAGCTCAGGAAAATTTGGGGCATGTTATATTCAGCTATTGACTCATGCTGGCACGTGCTACATTTATAAATTAATCCAAAAAAGGAAGGAGTGGCGACTGGTTAAATTTGGAGTTGAGCCATTAAAATAAATGGTATGACAGCAATTTCTTAACTAGTTGACAGTGTCAACTCCACTGTTACTGTAAGCTTTCTAGAAAAAAACACATACGACTGTAAATGGTAATAATAATAATAATAATAATCCTTGTATTTGATATAGCACTTTTCACGTCAGGAGGACGTCCCAAAGCGCTTCACAGAACACACTGTAAGGTGAATTGACTGTATATTTGTGGGCGAACGCGGCAGCCAATTGCGCACAGCAATGTCCCACAAACAGTCGTAGATTGAATATGACCAATTTATTATTGTTTTTGGTTTTGGAGGGATTATTATTATTATAAATGGTACTTGATTTACATTTGAAGATGCTTATTTTTATTCGCCATTTTTGTCTCTCCTGGTTACACACTCTTTACCTGTATTTTTTTCTGAAAGCAGCTGTTAGGAGTTGCAAAAGACATGCCATTTGTGTCCTACCTCTCCCTATGGAAAAGCACCTGCACTTGCCTCACCATCTCGATGTGACAACATGGCTTACATTGCAAAATCTGTGGGTGTAAACCCAAGTCCCACTGCTGTGGTTCAGTGCTTTGGACTTCTAAACAGCTGTCGCCAAGAAAAAGTGTTATTTAAACTGTTACTCATATACAATAACTTGGTCTGAATGTTGTTTTGTTGAAGGTATTATATCATATGCATTTCTTAATCTATGATGCTAATTACATGCATAAAATCTATTAGGCCAAATTTTAAATGACTCGTTTCTGTCAGTGCAATCATGCATTCAGCCATAAAACACACAGTCACTCAACTTTACAGCACATCCCGGGAAATGCTTTGAGATGTTCTCCTGACGTGAAAGGCGCTATAGCAATTGTAAGGATTATTATCCTCATGAATTATAGGCTGAGTGACTGAAGAATAATGGAAGCTTTCATTTCTCGTTATGAAATAGCTTTGAATTACAATTAAAATGGATACATTGAATGTTATCTTTCAACCAAGAAAGCACATTTTCATGTCAGAATGTACAACAACAAAAACAATTTGCATTTATACAGCACCCTACAAGAGGGGTAGCATCCCGGAGTGCTTCTACAAACAATGACTGATTCAAAACCATTCATTTGATAATAAAACATTTACTTCACTTAGTTATTAAGGTGAAATTCATTATAGATAGCAATACCGAAAACAAAATAAAAGATACTGAAAATAAACCTAAACTCGAGCAGGGAGCCCAGCAGAGTGAGGAGGGAACTTTGTGAGGTGGAACAGAGTGAGAATTCTGTTAAAGAATTTGGTGAGAGTGGGAATTCAGTGCAGAGGGGGAAGGAGGTGCAGGTGAGAAAACTTTTTTTCCTCATATAACATATATAACAATGGAATACTTCCTGTGTTGCAGAAGTTGCAAGATGTTTGCTTTCCAGGCTCAGGTTTTGAATGGATTCATCTGCATTAACTGCATGCTGGTAGATTCACTCAGGCTGAAGTGGTCAGCCTTAGTAAACGATTGGCCATGCACCAAAGTATTAGGGAGGGAGAAGTGTTTATTAATGATGTATTATAGGAGACTTTCCTAGGGAGCTCTGTAAGAAAGGAGCCCCCGGTACTTAGAGGAGAAGATTGGGTCTCTGTTAGGTAAGGGGCCAGAAGTTGTGGTAGGCAAATGGAGCAGGAATCCCTGTTGCTCTCCAACAGTTTCTCTCCTCTGGAGAGAGATGATATGGAAACCCAAGTGATGGCTGAGACATGTAAGGGAGGACCGTGCACCTAGGCAATCCAGCAGCCTGCCAGGGAAGAAGTATTAGACAAGTTGTGATATTAGGGGATTCGACTATTCGGTTCACAGATCGCATTCTGTGCAAACCAGACCCAGGCAATAGAATGGTAAGTTATCTACCGGTGCACAGGTTGAGGATCTGACGCGTCAGGTTGACCAAATGCTTCAGGGAGCAGGTTGGAGAAAAATCACAATGGCAAGGAAAAGCTTTGAATTGAACATGGCAAGAGATGTGAAGGATAATAACAAAAAGTTTATTTTAGTTACATTAAGAGTAGAAGAGCAATGGAATAGGACCACTGAGGTGGGTTCAGGAGACAACATGGCAAATAATGCTGCACAGGCTACAATAGTGCTAAATAAGTTTTTTTGCATCAGTCTTTACCAAGGAGAAGACAGGTAACCTATCTGATCTGGAAAGACAACTCAAGGATGTCACAGAGAAAAGATGTGACACCATTCATATCACTACCAGCATGGCTGCCAAACAGCTGTGTTAACTTAAGGTAAATAAATCTCAGGGGTAGATTGCAGGTAAGTTGCATAGGATCCTTAAGGAACTAAGGGAGGAAGTAGCAGAACCGCTGGCACAAATCTTTCAAAAATCACTGAATACTGGAGAGGTCCCGGGGAACTGGAGAAAGGAAGATGTCACTCCTATTTTTAAGATATAAAAAGTAACCCAGAAATCTACAGACCAGTAAGTTTGATGTCCATTTTGGATAAAATTATGGAGACTTATTAAGGATAAGATCATGGAGCACCTGGACAGAAATAAAATCATAACTGATAGCCAATATGGATTAATGAAGGGAAGATCTTGCCAATCTAGTTTACTGGTTTTCTTTAACGCTGTGACAAGGGAGCTTGATAAGGGTAAGGCTGTGGATGTTGTATATCTGGAATTCAGTAAGGCTTTTGATACAGTTTCTCTTGAGAGGCTGGTACTGAAAGTAAAAAAAAAAGTGGGAATCAGTGGAGGTATATTAGAATGGATACGCAATTGGTTGACCGGAAGAACCCAGAGGGTGGTGGTAAGGGAATCTCATAAGACTGAGAAAATGTTACCAGTGGAGTTCCACAAGGGTCTGTTTTGGGACCTCTTTTGTTTAGCATTTTTATAAATGATCTGGAACTAGGAGTCGCAAGTACAGTGGCTAAGTTGACACCAATCTAATGAAGGTGGTAGATTGCAAAGCTGAACAAGATAGCTTATAGCGGGATTTTAACATACTTTGGAATTGGGCAGATTGGTGGCAGATGAAATTCAATGTGGAGAAATGTAGAGTACTTCACATGGGGACAAAAAAATCCTGGAAGGGACCATTATTTGAATGTAAAGAAAATAATATGTATGTTAAATGAAAAGGACCTGGGGGTTCTGATTGACAATAAATTGAAGCACTGCCAACAATGCTCTGTGTCAGTGAGTAAAGCAAACCAGATGTTGGGATGTATCAATAGACCAATAGCAAGCTGAAATAGTGGCGTAATCCTGCCACTATATAAATCATTGGTGAGACCATACTTAGAGTATTGAGTATAGTTCTGGTCGCTGCAGAACAAAAAGGATATTGCAGAAATCAAGAAGATACAGAGGATGGCAACCAAAATGATTGAGGGAATGGAAGGACTGGACTATGAGGAGTGATTCAGTAAATTGGGCATGTCCAAGATTGAGAGGTGACATGATTGCTGTCTTTAAGATTCTAAAGGGGCTAGACAATATAGATCATGCCAGGCTGTTTCAACTTGTCCAGAATAGTAGAACCAGACGACACGGCCTGCGATTGAAGGGCTAAATTGAGAATGAATCTATCAAAACAATATTTCAGTGAGTGAATAGTGAACCTGTGGAACAAGCTCCCTAGGGAGATGGGTGAAGCAGGAAGTGTTGATTCTTTCGAACACAGATTAGATAATTTTCTTTTAGAAAATAACATTATGGGATATAGGACATAGGTAGTTTGGGACATATGTGATTGCGACAGCCAGGATGGTGGAAGGCAAACTAGATGGATCTCGGTCTTTTTTCGTCTAGCATTTCTTATGTTCTTATGTTATGTTCTAATAAGGATATGAAAAAATCATCCAACATCAGTAGTTCCTCTCACTTTAACACTCACTGACATATTATGACCTCTGATATAACACAGCACATTCCCTTGTTAATTCAAATACTATATATAACACCCTCTCTATAATTTGCTCCTTGCAATAGCAGATCTTGTGTAGCCTTCCAAGGATGCCATTGATCATCCTAGTCAAAACAAAGTAGGTTACCATGTCACAGAAAATAACATGATGAGAATAGTTCAAAGAGTTACTTCTAAAACACAGGAAGGTTTGATATCATAACCCCTCTGAGTTCATAAATGCATATTTTCTACCATTATATATCTTTCAAAATTGCACTCATCGGTATTAGTAGACATCAAGAAATACACAGAATTTTTTTTATTTATTTGCAATATTTCTCTATTGAAATTACTGAAAACCAATATTATACATTAAAAAGTAACCTTATATATTTTTAATCAGTTCCATCAGGAGCAAAAGTCATTTTTATACTGTCATTTGAGAGGGATTTGGGGAATGTTTACATAATATTATGAAATCTCTACTTTGTTATAAAAATATAATATAAATGTTATATTATCCACAGTGTACCAAACATCAACATTTTCTTTCATTGTCTACACTCTTAGTTGAAGCTTCCTGAAAAAAGTAATATCAACATCAGATTAAATAACATTGTATCAGACCTGTAGAAGCATTAAAAAATGAAGTTTAAGAAGTGCATATAACATGCAATAAAAACCTGCTGTAAATGCAAATAATGTAATTATTTTATTATTAACTGGTGCTATTGATGCACTTCAAAGCTTTTGTGTTTTAATGTTTTTTTGAACTATGTTGAGAAGTGTTTTCGTGTAGTTTTGAAAAGTGAAAAATCCCTATTTATCTTACACTAGTCATTATGGCTAATCAATAAATCAATCATTTTATCTACGCAAGATATACACTGACATTTTCAGCCACACTTTGGAATCTCTAAACGTTTAAGATCTGCCACAGATTATGTCAACAGCCATCAAGAAACCTCTTCAGAAAGTTCTTGCCCGAAGCTAGATCAAAGGTGAACACCTGGAAGCCAGTAATGCCAGCACCTCGAAAAGTAACCCTATACTCCTCCGTGCTCGCAGATTTGGTCTTCTTACTCCAAACATCTTTTTTAAGTTTTATTTATTGCCCTCAAACTGCCTCTTGTCTAATGTAAAAGGATAGTTAAGATTTTTCCCTTTGATAAAATCGCTCTGAAGGGAAACAAAAAGAGGTTATGGCTTACCTTCCTGAAGCTCATCATAGATCTTCTTGTACTGGCTTAGTGAGGCCACATCGCCCTGTGTTGCCTGCAGCATTCCCTGCACCTCTGTGATGGTCACCTCACAGCTTTGCACTTGCTTTGTAGCTTTCTCCAGTTGATCCTGATGTGTCTGTTGCAGCCTGAGAAACCAAAGAATTAAATAACTTCCTTTAGCTTTGCATTCTTTTTAAAAAAAAACATGTGCAATTGGCTGCCGCGTTTTGCCCACAAAATATACAGTCTCTACACTGTACAGTATATCCTGTGAAGCGCTGTGAGACCTCTTGAAGACCGTGATAAGGCGCTATATCAAATGCGAGTATTATTATTATTATTATTACAGAAACGTCATTTGCTTCAAGTCTAATCATTTACTCTTTATTTATCCACGTCTGGCTATTTTCTTGATGGTTCATTCTCAAAGGATTTTTGTTCTTTGATACCAGCACAACTTCTGCCCCCAACACAATGAGTCTCTCTGGTGCTTTATCACACGGCCCAACAATCACATCTCACTAAACACGTTCACAGGTACTTCAAAATCCTGCTTTCTAACCCTTAAATCAGCTAATTTCTCCCCGACTATTCTGCCATAAGTCATCTCTTTCTCTCCCACTGCTTTTTTATTTTTCTCTCTCTCTTTTCATACTGATCCAATTTATTCTTTTCCATTCCTGCCACCTGACTTAATGGGGTGCAATTTGCGATAATCGGATTTGAAGCGCTAATGTCCTGTGATTATCAAGAAACATAGGAACAAGAGGAGGCCATTCAGCCCGTTTACCAGTGTGTTATACAGAGGCAGATCTTTTAATTCCACCCCAGCCCCCTTTTCCCCATTACCCTTAATGCACCTTATTCTCAAATATCTATCAATCTCCCTTTTAAACATCCCAATTGATTCTGCAAGTGCAACATCCTTAGGCAGTGCTTTCCCTAATGTGTGCTATTTACAAAACTGCTAATTTTGATGTCTAAAAACCGTCAACCTGCAAGAAAAGTCACAATTTGCAAATATCGGATCCAGTTTGTGAAGATCCTCAATTGAACCGCTATGTCACTTACTCTCTCTCTCTCTCTTTCTCTAATTTATTAATACATAAATGAACAAAGCCTCCATTTTAGATGATCCAGGTCACCACTTAAACAAAAAATTAACGATCCATTATAAATTATTAGGGTTTTAAGATTGCTGTAAAATAATTAATTTTCGTTTGGTTTTCTAGCCTGACAAATGTCACATTAAATGACACAGTTGTATTTATTACTGTTCATATATTTTCTTCATACTACAGCCAATTAATCAACACTGGATGATAATTAAAAATTAAGATGCTATCACAGTCTTATGACAGATCCATAGCTTGTAAGTGCGTCTGCTCTCAAAATGATTCATGTAATAAACTGATAGTATCACAAAATCAGAAACACTTTCAGTCAGGCAACAATTTTGTTTCCTCGACACAAGAAGTCATTTGGTTTAAGCTTGTTTCACACAACGGAAAATATCATAAGTAAAGCCACAACAAACAGAAGATGCAATTAGCCGGATGGACAATGTTGTGCGAGTACGTGGAACAGTACATGACAGTGAACAATGTCCGAGACCAGTCAGTCTCTTTGTTTACCTTTTAACCTCTTTAGTTATCTCACGTATCTTCTCCTTTAGAAAAACAATGTGGTCTTGTAATGCTCCATTGCTTTGCTTCATTTCAGCCAGTGTATGTTCCAACTGGATTCGACCCTCTTCTTTCTGCAACATCCTTCAATAGGTGGCAATATTTATACAGTATTTACCACTTTAATAATAATTATTGGTTTATGTATTCTGCTGTATTCACTAACCTCTGATTTTATATCTTTTACAAAGAGATGATGGTTATTGATATTCTCTAACCAGTTTGAATTAATTTATTCCATCGCAGTGAGTGAACTGATTTGATATATTCCCTTACAATGAATAACTCGATCGCCTGTATATTGGGCTGAAAGGCACAGCCTGTTTTGATGTTTCCTGTGGTAGTAAATCTGCTGCTATAATGGATGGCCTGATTTGATGTGTTCTGCTGTAATGAGGTAGCAGATTTTATGTATTCTGCTATAATGTCTAGTCTGATTTGATGTACAGTATTCTGCTGTATTGCCTTGGGTAATGGATTGAACACCTGTTGAAACATACCAGTTAGAATAAAAACTGATTAGGGCGAGACATTGAATAACGAGTATAAGGATTACAATTTCCTTTGTTTGCTGATTTTAAAGAAAAGGTAGGTTTGCTGAAATAGAGTGAAATGTTGGGAGAGTAAAATCAGCAAATCATTATGAGGGAGAGGATATTGTAGGGTAGGTCAATAATAATAATAATAATCCTTGCATTTGATATAGAGCTTTATCACATCTTTGAGACGTTTCAAAGCACTTCACAGAATATACTGCAAAGTGGATTGACTATGTATTTTGTGGGCGAAACCCAGCAGCCAATTGCGCACAGCAGCGTCCCACAAACAGTGGTGGATTGAGCGACCAAATTATTATCATTATTTTGTATTTAATTATTTGTATTTATTTATTCATTATTAATATAATATTTATATTAATACTCAAGTCATAATATAAATACAATTTAAAAAATTAAAAATATGGGGAGTATGGGGAGGCCAGAGTGGAGTATTAGGAGGGGTGGAGGATCATATGGAGCTGTAAGGCCAATTGTGTCAAATTCCACGTATGTAAATGTGTATGTAAATCTACATTTGCTGATGATAGCAAACCGTGGAACCTTTGGAAAAGACTACCTTGGAAGGAGACGGTTGTCAGATTGTCACAAAATTTAGAGGGAATTGGATTGAGAGGTGTGAGACACAGAGCACTATAGGATTTTGTTTATTATCTTTTATCTGACCAGATGGACCGCAGTGGTCTGATCTGCTCCAGTACATTCCTATGCTGTATGTTCCTACATGGAATTGTACAACGCTGCTCCCAACAATCCACCTACTCAAAGCAAACAAAAAAATAGTTTGTAAAAAGAAAGAAAAAAGGAAAAAAAGAAAGAAAGAAAGAAAGAAAGAAAGAAAGAAAGAAAGAAAGAAAGAAAGAAAGAAAGAAAGAAAGAAAGAAAGAAAGAAAGAAAGAAAGAAAGAAAGAAAGAAAGAAAGAAAGAACTTGCTCAGATATTGACAGGGGTGATCAAGAAGGAACTCAGGCAGCTCCAAATAAGTAGGCATGTCAATGAAGAGAATTATTTAAATGTAGGTGAAATCTGATGTTAATGAAGAGAATAAAAGTGCCAAATTATAATAATAATAATCCTTGCATTTGATACAGTGCTTTTCACGTCTTCTAGACGTCTCAAAGCGCTTCACAGAATATGCTGTAAAGTGAATTGACTGTATATTTGTTAGCGGGAGGAGAGCTTTGAGAGCAATGAGTATTGCAGAAAATTTTGACTGAAAGCATAAGCTTGTCAGCCATTGCTGGATACACGCCAGTGAAGAGAAACAAAAAGAGAAAAATAATGTCCTGGAAACAAGGAAAGAAGGCACTGGCGGCTGGCAAAGGGGCTTTTTACCCAGTTTCTAACCGGCACGGGAGTTTTGACCCCATGCAGTTCAAGAAATCATTCCACTGTTCCTAAACAGATATGGAGTGTCACTTCCTCAATTGTAAAGGGTGATTGTTTTGATGACAGCTCAAAATCCAGTCACTAAATATTTTGATTTTCTTACATTTTTATGAACAACAACTTTGTCAAACGCAGGGTTCCATATTCAGTACAGTACATGTATACTGACAAAAGAGGCTGAGTGATGTTTTTTTNCTTCTTTTAGGGATAATTTACAAAAATGTTGTAATGGCACATGGAGCACATTGACATGTCTCCCTCCACCTGTGTACCAGAACTGTTCAGTTCATAGCTCACAGTTGCAGAGTGTGGAAGGAAGTCTTGAGAAAACAAACTGAATGAAGGTAAATGATTCCATGTGCTGCTGTAAAATTATATAGCGCTTGAAGAAAACAGCTGACCATAATTGGTCCAGACTCGAAGACTTTGCTCTGTGTCTGAATCAGCCCGCTCTGTCCCCTCTCTCTGTCTAACAGTGCAGTGATACACTCTCTTTAATAGTGTCTATAGAAACATTAAACATGTGTATATATTATAAATAAACACACAGACTTATGTATATAGTTATAAAATCAATGATTATAAAATTGGACTCAATAAAACAGCATTTCATTGTATCATATTCCCAATATGAAACAGTATTTCATTTTCAAGTCGAGCTTTATAAGCAATGAAATTATAGTTTGGCTAAAAAAAAATGAGCTTAAGAATTCAGCTTTTGCTGTGATGTGCGGCTGGAATCCTCTTCAAAAAAGATGGTTAAAATCCAACGCTTTACACAATTTTATTGGCTCTTCAACTTCATAGTTCAGAGAAATGTGTGGGTAATCTATATAAAAATTGGATAATATGTACTTGCTAAAAACAATTTAAAAGAAAATTGTTAAACTCCCAGAGATTTAAAATATAGACTGTACCCATGCAAAACACATAGGCCTCCCAAAATAATGTGAAATATTATTTTTTGTCTGGGGCAAAAATACATTTACTAACAATACTTAAGTTATTATAATAAAAAAATAGTCATTCTTGCAATTTTATACAGTACCTATAAACATCAAAACATCTCAAAAGTGTTACTGGCAGGTGTAGTAGTGACTGTATTTGTATCAGTCCTTACTACTTAAATAGAAGTTTGTTGCAGATTACTCATTTTGCTGAAGTTTCAAGACATTCCCAAGCACGGTTTCTCGAAGAGAGATTTTTAAAATATAGGAAAGCAATGTTTTTAATTCTTTAGCTGTCTGACATTCGTGTGGAGAGCTAGTAACCCCTGAGTTTCTGATGAAGTCAGTCGTATCAAGGTATTACAAAAATTCTGCTTTCCTGCCTTGGGTAATGAAATAGTCAAGAAAAAGCACCGTGTACAGTACTTACATCTCTCTCAAACCATTCAATTCAGTACGAAGTGCCTTTGCCTCCTCATTCCTGCATGCAATAAAGAAATTCATTTGTATGGAGATTTGCATTAACATTCATAAGTGATGTTATCGTTAACTCATTTAAAGTTTCAGAATGTACACTTTCTTTAAGTTAATTCTTGAAATGCACAGCGTGTGACCAATCACATAATACAATGGCTGAGCTCCTCTTCTAAAGTGTGTAATTGTCATTAATTGTTTCTCACCAAGTGTAACATCCATTGGATATTAATATAGCTGGGTTTCAAAAGCTAACTCAAAAACTTTTTAATCTACTTTAAAAGGTGTTACGAGCAGAAACGTATCATATTAATATATTTGTTGAAATAAATGTTTTCTGTATCTGTTTATCTGTAGAAATCACAGACATATTACTGTAAACAATTAACAGTGAGCTCACATGTTGGCTGTGAAAGGTTCTGTTTCAGTTTAATTTGACTTGACATTTGCCCTTCAAGGTTGGTAATGAATTAAGCAATTTTCCAATTTTTGTTCTCACTCAATGCCAAGCAATACAGAGTGCGACATTTTAATAATAATAATTTGATACAGTGCCTCATCACGTCTGAGACGTCTCAAAGCGCTTCACAGAATATACTGTAAAGTCAATTGACTGTATATTTTGTGGGCAAAACACAGCAGCCAATTGCGCACAACAGTGTCCCAAAAAACAGTCGTGGATTGAGTGACCAATTTATTATTTTATTTTTTAAAGGATTTATTAACCCCAAAAAAGCGATCCGCCAATTGACTAACAACCGGATTCCTACTTACTGCTAGATAAACAGAGGTGTGTGGAGTAAGGAATCAAACTAGGTCCTCTCGTTTGTGAGGCAAGTGCTCGAACCGCTGAGCTACAGAACTCCTAGTATAAGACTGCCCCATAATAAATACTAGCAAGGTTGCTGACCAACCAATGGAACTTCTTTTCCTTCCTAACTATTTCCATGTGTGAAGCCTAGCTCTTGGCTGGCAAAACCTTATTCTGGAATAAATTCATGTGGGGGGAATTGAAGAGACTTTATTATATCACCAGAAGAGGCTTTCTTATGAAATAAATCTGCCTCATCTTGATTCTTTATGGGGGTTCACTTATTTTGCGCCAATGGTAATAACTTTCAAAACGTATCCAACATTTGGTACCAAGTAATAAAGCTCTGTGCACAGTTGCTTGAAATCAAGCCTCGGGCGAGAGCAATTTGGAAGGGGCAGTATAAAAAGTGTATTTAAGTGGAATACGATTAAACTGACAGTTGTTGTTAGTAATGTCATAAACACTAAATATAGGCTGGGTCAAATAACCCTGTAGGACAAAAATAATTTATTTCACTAATCCATTACATAATGTGCTGGCAAAAAACACATCAGTCTACATAAAGATTTATTATTAAAATTGGCTTCAATTTCATTTGTGACTGTAAAATAGTTTCCATTATTCCCCTTTAACTCATTGAGTTATTCTTCCAGTGCTTTGGGACTTCCTTCCGACGTGAAAGGCGTTATATAAATGTCACTTGTTACAGCTGTTGTTATAATTATCAACCAGATGAATCATAGAGAAATGTGACTGCATAATAATAATAATACTAATAATAATCCTTGCATTTGATATAGCACCTTGTCACATCTTCGAGACATCTCAAAGCGCTTCACAAAATATACTGTAAAGTGAATTGACTGTATATTTTATGAACAAAATGCGGCAGCCAATTGCGCACAGCAGTGTCCCACAAACAGTCATGGATTGAATTATTTTTAATCTATTTGAAGGGATTATTACCCCCAGAAAAGCGATTCGCTGATCAACTTGTGGAGTAAGGAAACTTGCCTAATGTTTCATCCTTCCCGGGAATCGAACCTGGGTCCTCTCGTATACGAGGCAAGCGTTCTAACCACTACGCTACAGCATTACAATTATTGCACAACTCAGAATAATTCCTTAGTTGAACAGCAAACTTTCTTAAAGTGCTAACAGCTGAAGCATTTGTTACTAAAACCCAGTGCATCAAACTTTAAAATCTCAAATTATGTTCTTAACTGTATGTAAATAGTTTCACAGTACGATGGCTTGAGAAAAACTGTTGAAGAGTAAAAGATGTTTGATTCTGATTTGACTTCTAATGCAGTTTTATAATAATAATATAATAATAATAATAATCAGTAATTGAGACTATCACTTTGAAAATTAAAGGAAGGGTATTGTAAATCAAGAGCTCTGGGACACTACCCCTCGTGAAGGGTGCTATATAAATGCAAGTTGTTGTTGTTATTCAGAAGATCAAACCTTTCAAAATGATGGTACATTTCTATGACCCATTGCTTGGCGTAGTTTATAAAGTTTAATATAAAATGTTTTCATTTGAGATTAGGTTGAGAACATGCCAAACTTTTACTCTCAGTAGTTTGGATTGGATACGCTTAAAGAAGGTGATGGGTTTCCACATGTGACAGACCAAACAAAACAGAAAGCTTTCACATATGCCATCCTATTCTTTCACTAAAAAAAACCACTTTAAATTCACTGTGGATCTTGAGTAGACTTGAGTGCTTCAGAGGTAGAGTTTTAATAATAATAATAATTAATAATCCTTGCATTTGATATAGTGCTTTTCACATCTTCTCGACGTCTCAAAGCGCTTCACAGAATATGCTGTAAAGTGAGTTGACTGTATATTTGTGGGCGAAACGCGGCAGGCAATTGCGCACAGCAGCGTCCCACAAACAGTCGTGGATTGAAAATGACCAATTTTTTTTGTTTGTTTTTTGGAGGGATTATTATAGGCGTGTCGAATAAGGAAACTTCAATTGTAGAATTGTAGCTCGAAAGCCATGAACCTCAGCACATATCTGCACTCATTTGACAAGTTTTACCAGTTCTTGGTGGGTGAGTCTGAGAGAGGAGAGAGCATGAAACAACAAGAGAGCTTCTCAGGGATAGCGAAAAGCGAGTGGGACAAGTTCCACCCTCCAGAAGCTAAGATCCTATCAAGTTATCACAAAGAGGCTGCTGACATCACCCATCAAGTCTTCAACAAGGCCAAAACTTGTCATACCCTTCAGGCTGAAGGAGAAAAGATGATAGTAGGAGAGCGCATTGAGTGTGATTAAAAAGAATTGTGTAGAACAAGATGGGCTCTCTCTCTAGACCAGTCATCCCATTAATATATATGCCTTGAGAAGCAATCCTCTCAGCAAGTCAGTCTATTAATGTGCTTCCAGAGCCACACTCTCTTATCTCTGTTCTATGCTTTTCCTCAAGACACTTCCCAGGGCACTCAGTTTTTACATGACCCTGATTCCTTAAATGTCAAATTATATAATACCATGACTTCTCTGTTACCATTTTCCAACAAGAAAACAAGATCAAGGAAGATCCTCAAACCTCACAAGACATTCATTCTGATGTTAATACCTTTTGTCTGTGGAAAATCAGGTATTATTGTCAGCTCTTTTGTAAGCATATACCTCAAATGTACATTAATATTGTACTACAATACAGATATACACACTCAGCAATTTTATTACTAATCTAACAACATTTTACTGTTAATAAAATAACAAAAAGCTCCTCTGTTGCTGATTTACATGGATGAGATAAGGTTTTCCTGATAATCATTAAAACCTCTTTAATAATTAATCCTTTCATTCGATAAAGCACCTTTCACGATGGGAGTATGTCTCAAAGCACTTTATAACAATCACTGTTAAGTGTAGTGACTGTGTATTTTGTAGGCAAAACGTTATTGAGTTGAAGAGATTGTCTATCTGATGTATTTTTATTTGCACATAACACCAACCAAGGCAATGAAGATTCATTCTGTTAAAATGCTTTGAGTTTGAGGTTTGCCCGGAAGCTTAAAATTTGGACCTTCTGAAGTTAATCTCCAAATGTCAGGGATTTGAATCTGCATCTTTCTCATCTGCATCTTTCTAATCAAATAATTCCCTCTAGGTATGTCTGTCAATAGTGACCTGTTTCCATGTACTTTGGACCGCACTGTCAATGTTACATTGAAGCTCCATTCAGAGCAAGTAAACCTGTTTTAAATGAACATAGTGAAGACATTGTGAAGAATTATACATAAAATAATATTCAAAGTGTAACTTAGACACTTCACAATGAAAACAAAACATTTTTTTTCTTAGGCCAAGGGCAAGGTAGTATACTTTGATAGTTTAGAAAAAGAAAGTAACTACTGACATTTTAATATGTGCCCACAGAGTTCTCCATTTTCTTATGGAAAGTGACTGTATAATACAGTAATAAAGGCATAAATTTTCCATTTAGCAATTGGCTGCTTCGTTTCGCCCACAAGATATGCAGTCAATTCACATTACAGTATATTCTGTGAAGCTCTTTGAGACATCTCGAAGACGTGAAAAGCGCTATATCAAATGCAAGGTTTATTATTATTACTCTACGATTACTCACCGATGTTCCCGAATTCTGTGAAGCAAACTGAAATAAGGCACTCGTGTAACCGCATCACCTTTTTCTGATTCTGATACTGAACTCCCCGTGCGTTGAGAGCTGTATACTCCATCTGCACACGTCAAAGCAAGAAAACACACTTTTGAAAAGCGAATGGCTATTTACGAAGCAAATCTAAACCACAATTTCCCAGTGAAAAACTAGGGTGAACCTTAGCTGAAATAAACTTTATTTCATGAATTGAATTATCTGAATTGAGGGACCAGTGCAACGGGTATTTTACTGAGATTGTTAACAAGGGGAAAAATATAAACCAATATTGACTAAATATCTGCAATGAACAATGATGTTTATGTTGTCATTGAAATAAGTCAGTAACTTGTTTTGTCTTACTATAGAGTTCGTCCCGGATGAGTTGCAGTACTTTGCTGAACGCACCAAGCTGCGGGTAGAGATCTCCTAACACTTGAAACACCAATCTCATTCTATCTTCTGTTGGTTCCTTGAAGGACAGCACTTTCTTGTCCTCGATGAGCTTCACAAGATACTGATTAGCTGTTCAAATGCAGACAGGTTGAACAGTGATACAGCACTCTCCCTTAAAATCTTTCAACATAAGTTTGTTCTCACTCAAAGGTCAGTTCTCCAACATTGCAATTATAAGCAAGAAAATAAATATCTGTAAATGCTAACATACAGTTCTAAAAGTATAATACTACAACTTGCATTTATATAACACTCTCCACATAGATTAACGTCTCAAAGTGCTTTACAGAAATGGTGTGAGACAATGAGCAGTGAGGGTGGGGGAAGAGTTCAATATTACCATTTCCATTTTCATACCATTACTGGCTGATATTTATATGGAAAAGTATAAAGACATATGTTGACCTACCTGGCGAGACAGCCCCCAATATAACATCAGCATCCAAAGACTTAGGTTTCTGAGCTTTTGTTCTGGATGTCATATTTATTACAAATGTATTGCAACTGAAACCAAAAGAGATTTACAATAAATGATTATTCAGGTAATAATAATCCTTGCATTTGATATAGCACCTTATCATGTCTTTGAGCCATCTCAAAGCACTTCACAGAATATACTGTAGTGTGTAGTGACTGTGTATTTTGTGGACAAAACGCGGCAGCCAATTTCAGATCACCATGTATTGCACTGGATATGTTTCTGGCATTTGATAAAATAGATTTATATTCTAATTAGACTACAATTCCTGGTAACTCGTCCTGGCATTTACAAGCCAACACTGAAACATTCTGAAACTTTGCACTGTCTCTACTCCCCAATCCTTTTTCTGCTCCACCTTCACCTGGGTATGCCTATTCGTTATGTTATCAGTTATTATTTTAGCATCCGTAAACATAAAATTCAAATGTAATTTTTCTAATCATCACTAGAGTGCAAGGATCCTGTCTAGATAACTGAATAAAATATCCTTCAGTTACAGCTTATACCTTTTCCTCATGATATTTCGGCTTTCTCAGATAATAATAATGACAATATTAATAATAATCCTTGATTTGATATAGAGCTTTATCATGTCGTTGAGACGTCTCAAAGCGCTTCACAATATATACAGAATATATTGTAAATTTGATCAACTGTGTATTTTGTGGGCGTAAATAGAAATTCTGTTTACAATTTCTTTACCCATAATAGTTTATTTATGTTCATACCTTATTGCAGTTCCCTGTGGAACACTGGTTTCAAATCAAATCATGTCTATTTATACATAACCTACATTTTCACTATTTAGTCCATTTTTAATCCAGTTTATTACTTCTGCCTTAATTCATTGAGCCCTTACCTTTACAACCAATTTCTTGTGAGATGATGACATTTTTGATAATCTTACTATATTGTAATATCTACTGGCCCTCCATCATCGATGAAGGCCTCCTGAAGAAAAAGTAAATTCATAAGGGAAGCATCTTCCTCTCCTAAATCCATCCAAGCTGTCATTAAAAATGACATTTTTGTAAAACTCTTAAAAAGTCAGAACTGCATCAGCCACTTTCCATTCCTCAGGTATCTTTCCTGCTCTCAAAGAACTGAGAACGATTTTCAGCCAAAGCTTCCCCAATTTCCTCTTATACTTGCTGGAGAATTCCCAGCTGCATGCAGTCAAGCCTCCAGTTTCTTAATAACACTTCCTCTACTAATATCTATCTTCACTAAACACTCCCTGCTCCCCCAGTCATCTTATTTATGGGATCAGGAATCCTCTCTTGCGAAAACTGAAGTGAAGAACCCATTTAAAAATGCAACTATACCCTGATCCTCTACGACTAATCTGCCAGTCTTATCCTTTGGAGGCCAACGTGTTCTCTAATCCTCTGCCTTCTATGAACATAACTGAAAAACTTCTTATTCCCCTTGACGCCCATTGCAATTTTCCTTTCTAATTTCCTATTTTCTTTCCTGATTTCCATTTTTAGTAATCCTTGGCTGCTTTTTTATATTCAACCCTATCTATTTGCCTTCTTGATTCCTCACATTGTTTAAAACACTTTTCGAGGTCCCCTACGTTTTATTTTACTCCCCATTCAGTCACTTCAGCCGAAGTCTACATATTATCCTCTTGCTTCTCAGTGATATGAATTTTGACCAAATCCCTTCTAATGTGCTTTAAAAATGTACTACTTCACTTGTTTTCACTTTTAATGTCTGTGTCTGGTGTCAAATGATTGCAGCAGGACAGTACTGTATGGTCACTCAAGCAAAGAGCACTTGATTCCCAATCAGGACACGAGTTGGATTCCTTCGACTGTTTGCGTCACTTGAACTTGTCTGTCTTGGTTGGGTGGGTTTCTTTGGATTTCAGACAGGTCTTAAAGTGGGAAAGGTTTGGGAAGAAATAAACATGATATAGCTTTGCTGTGCTTGAATTGTCACTACAGATTACTATGTTAGATAGGGTGGGGGGCGGGGTGGGGGGAAACCCTCGCCTCCATTTGATAAGTTTCCATAGCGAGCCACTGAAAATCAAAAGCCCAGCAGAATGGGGAAATCAAATTGAGATTCCACATTGGTTTCTCAACCCACGGTGACTTTGCCACTCACACCGACTAGAAGTAACCCTCATTAGTAACAAAACATGACAGTCATATTAATATGGCATCGTTATCATTGGATACTGTGGAGTCCTGTAGCTCAGTGGTTAGAGCACTCGCTTTGCAAGCGAGAGACCTGAGTTCAATTCCAGGCAGAGGGCGAAACCTTGGGCAAGTTTGCTTACTCCACACGCCTAATAATAATCCCTCCAAAAAAACAAAACAATAATAAATTGGTCATTTTCAATCCATGACTGTTTGTGAGACATTGCTGTGCGCAATTGGCTGCCATGTTCGCCTACAAATATACAGTCAATTCACTTTACAGTATATTCTGTGAAGCACTTTGAGATGTCTAGAAGACATCAAAAGCGCTATATCAAATGCAAGGATTATTATTGTTTTATTATTATTATTACTGAACACAGCGACCTCTATTTCTCAGTGATTGCTCACACTGATGATTTTTGTTACTTGCCTATAATGGGAAATATCATAGGAGACACACACAAAAATATAACTGGGGTTAGTATATTCCACCATCTGGAACTCCAACCCGCAGTCCCCTTCGCCTTACCTCCTTCAAGACCCGTCTCAAGACCCTCCTCTTTGACCGTGTCTTCGATCACCCTCCTTCCCCTCCTGCCCTCCACCCTCCCCGATCCTGACCCCCATCTCACATCTGAAACACTGATTGTCCAGCACCTTGGGACGTCCTCCAGATGTGAAAGGGCTATACAAATATAATTTTGTGGTTGTTGTTAGTGAAACACATTACACACGCTATTTCTAAAAACACATATAGATATCGAATAAAACGAGGAATATTTATTGAATAGACGGATCTGAACTCACTCACTAATGGACCTCTATTTTGTTCTCTATTTTGACCTCTAAGCTGTTAAGCCAATTTATTCAATAAAACATTCCTACAATTTTCAATAACTGCTCCAAGCCAATGTTCCTGGTGACATCGACAGCATCCGTTCAAACAAAATTCTGACAAAATGTAAGCATTTAAGGTTTCTAATAATGCCTTTGTTAATGTTTTAAATTTGAGTAGGGATCCTAACAGTTTTTTTCTGGTCAGCCGGGTCTCTTACACTTGCGGAAACCCATCACCATATTTAAAACTATCCAAAGCAAGCTGAGATTTATAATAAAATAATAATCCTTGCATTTGATATAGCGCCTTTTCACGTATTCTGGATGCTTCAAAGCTCTTCACAGAATACACTGTAAAGTGAATTGACTGTATATTTGTGGGCGAATCGCGGCAGCCAATTGCGCACAGCAGCATCCCACAAACAGTCGTGGAATGAGTGACCAATTTATTATTTTATTTTTATTTTATTCCTTGAGGGATTATTATCAGTCGTGTGGAGTAAGGAAACTTGCCTAAAGTTTTGCCCTGCTGGGAATCAAACCAGGTCTCTCGCTTGCAAGGCGAGTGCTCTAACCACTGAGCTACAGGACTCTACCGATTCCATGCATCCCACCTACACATGGAAATCCCAGAGATAGATTAGGATCCTAACAGTGAGACTCCCTCTGTCAATGGTGCACACTGTAACATGATCTCACCGAGTTTACTTTTTCTTCAGAGAGTCTCCACTGGTATTAATTAATCTCCCATTCACCATTTTTTTCCAAGCTAGTTTTCTTAACTCACTGTCTCACTGTTTATATGACACAACAAAATAATATTCATATAGAACACAACAATATCCGATAAAAGCCTGGAATACCGGTAATCTGCAACAGACCAATCAGCAGCTGAAGGAACCTAATCGTGGCTTTCAGTAGCTGATTGTTGTTGTTGTTGTTGTTGTTGTATTGGGTTTCCAGTTTTCGCAGTTATTCTTTTTATTTCATAAAAATAAGTCAACTTTTACCTGAAAAGCAGTATTGACCAAATGCTGCAATACGACAGAGTTGGTCTGTGTCAAACATTTGTGGTATTTGAGTTATATAGAGGAAGACTAGTTTGTAATTAACACACACATTAAGTCAAATTTGCATACTTCATTTATATGTTTATCCTTTTAGCTAACCAAGACACCCCCCAAGTTTATTAAAGATAGGATCGAAGTTTTTCCTTATTTTCTAATTAATCAAATAAGCATTTACTAATAAGATACGATTAGCATTTTTAAATATGCTATTCCTATTAACATAACTAATAAACCATCCAAGTTTCGTAGAAGGCAGGAGGCACAATTGTTTTGTTATTTAGGAATAGTGGAAAACTTTACATTGACAGTCATTTCTGTCCTTTTCGGGTGATGCAGAAATAGCCAACAAAAGATATACCCAGTTATAATACTGAAACTGTTACCAGAAAATAATAAATGGATATCAAACAATAAGAAATGGATGTCAAAGTAGGGTTGTAAACATCAAAGTACACTCAGAAACACAAAAACAGCCCGTTAATGCACAACGTTCTTGCTAAAGAGGATACTGTATTTGATAACTGACTCCTGTTGGAGTTGAAATTCAGCAAAGAAAGTGTTAGGTGGAAATAGACGTATATAGATATTTATATAGATACGTATATATTCTATTTGAATTTTCCTAATCACAATGAATGTGATTGATTTGTAAACTTACCCAAAAGCTTTTTTAATTTGTTTATTATCATTGTTGGAGAATATTTACAATTAAAAGCTATCTATATAGGAACACAGGAAAACAATCATGGGAAGCTACGATAAAGACCATCGAACCTGTTCAAACTGTTTATTAAATTTATACAGAGTTTTTAATCCCAATGCCTTGCCCTTTAATAGCACCCAATATCTCAAATGCCCTTGTTGTGCACCTACAACAAAATTACATTTGTATAGCCTAGTATTCTTACTTATATTGATCTGAAGTGCAAACAAGACTGTCCTAACCCCCACGCAGGTTCAATTACATATAAAAACACACAACATAAAGATGGCTTCAACATGTACATTCGCACAACCTCCTCCCCCCACCCCACATACACACAAATTACGAATTAGACTAAACACAAGAATGATTTGCTGTCTAATTTAATAATCCTTGCACTTAATTATAGTGCCCAAACATCAAAACGTTTCAAACCACCTTACAGTAATTACAGTATAGAGTAGTGACTGTGTATTTGTAGGCAGACATGACAGCCAATTTCATACACAGAATATTCTACAAACAGCTAGGAGTTAAATGACCATGTTTTGCTGGAGCATTGGTGGCCAAGTCACCGAGAGAAACTCCAGGTTCTTTCTGGTTGTTGATTGGCAGGTGAGACCTCAGTTTAATTCTGTCTCTTCCCACTGCTCTATATCTCTCTTTAAAACCCATCTTTTGAACCGTGCCTATGGTCATCTCCCGCTGTTCGGAATCCAACCACATCATTGTGATTTCCTCTGAGCTGTCATCCTATGTCGAGAAGCGCTCACACGAACATTCGCACATTTCAATCAAAAAGAATCAAGGGGAAAAAAATCAAGAAAGGTTGGCAGATGCAAATAAAGATTGGCCACCAGTCCTATATAAATGCGAGTCGTTGTCATTGCCGTGTTGCGAAGGACGAAACCCCAAAAATGCAATACTGCCCCCCCACCCGCCCCTTGAGCACTGGAACACTGTGGCATTCAGATTCCTACAACCATCTACCTTCGTCCGACCTGTGCGACAGCCTGGGTACCAATTGCAAATCAGGTGAAGTGAAGCTAGCAGGTGAAGTGGGAGAGGAGTCGAAACATCTGCCCTCATTTCCACAAACGAACATTTTATTTTCTCGATTATTACCCCCAGAAAAGTAATTCGCCAATTAACAACCGGGTTCCTACCTCCTGCTGGATAAACAGAGGTGTGTGGAGTAAGGAAACTTGCCTAACATTGGGGTAGATAAGAGAGACAGGATTAGAACCAAACAAGCTTTAGTTTGACCTACTTGGGTGGTGGATGATGGCGAGTTGCTCTCTCTCTCTGACTGTGAGTGTGTGTGAGTGAAAGAGTATGAGTGAGTGTGTGTCAGTGAGAGTGTGTGAGACTGTATGAGTGTTATGGGTTAGTGTGCGTGTGAGCAACTGTGTGTTGTGCGTCAGTGAGTGAGTGTGTGAGCGTATGAGACTGGGTGAGTGAGTGTTGTGTGTTAGTGTGTGTGAGAGTATGAGAGTGAGTATGTGTGTGAGACTGAGTGAATGTTGTGTTAGTGAGTGTCAGTGAGAGTAAGTGTGTGCGAGTATGAGTGTGTGTTGTGCGTGAGTGAGAATATGAGACTGTGAGAGTATGAGTATGAGAGAGTATGAGTGTGTGTGAGACTGTAGAATATGAGATTGAGTGTGTGTGTGTTGTGTGTTAGTGACTGTTTTTGAGTGTTGGGTGTTAGTGAGTGTATGAGTGTGTGTGAGATTGTGTGAGAGTATGAGAGTGAGTGTGAATGTGTGTGAGTGTCGTGTTAGTGAGTGTGAGTCAGTGGGAAAGTGTGTGAGAGAGTATGAGTGTGTGTGAGACTGTGGTGTTGTATGTTAGTGAGCGTGTGTGAGAGTATGAGAGTGAGTGTGTGAGACTGTATATGAGTGAGTGTTGTGTTAATGAGTGTGTGTGAGTATGAGAGTGAGTGTTGTGTGCTAGTGAGCGTGAGTGTGTGCGAGTGAGTGTGAGTATGAATGTGTGAGACTGTGTGAGTGAGTGTGTGAGACTGTGTGAAAGTGAGACTGTGAGAGTATGAGAGTGAGTGTGAGAGTATGAGTGTGTGTGTGTGTGACAGTTGGAGAGTGAGTGTCTGTAACTATGTGAGAGTGAGTGTGTGAAACCGTGAGTTCGACTGAGAGTGAGTCCGACTGTGTGAGACTGTGTGAGAGACTGTGTGTGAGTGAGTGTGTGAGACTGTGTGAGAGTGAGTGAGTCTGTGAGAGTGAGTGAGTGAGACTGTGTGAGCGAGTGAGTGAATGAGATTGAGTGAGACTTTGTGAGAGTGAGACTGCGTGAGTGAGAGTGAGTGAGACTACGAGAGTGAGTCTGTGAGAGTGAGTGAGACTGTGAGAGTGAGTCTGTGAGAGTGAGTGAGACTGTGTGAGACTGAGTGAGACTGTGAGTGAATCTATGAGTGAGTCTGTGAGTGAGTGAGTGAGACTGTGAGTGAGTGAGTGAGACTGTGAGTGAGTGAGTGAGACTGTGAGTGAGTGAGTGAGACTGTGAGTGAGTGAGTGAGACTGTGAGTGAGTGAGACTGTGAGTGAGTGAGTGAGACTGTGAGTGAGTGAGACTGTGAGTGAGTGACTGTGAGACTGTGAGTGAGTGAGACAGTGAGTGAGTCTGTGAGTGAGTGAGACTGTGTGAGTGAGATTCTGAGTTAGTGAGTGAGACTGTGAGTGAGTGAGACTGTGAGTGAGTGAGTGACTGTGAGACTGTGAGTGAGTGAGACTGTGAGTGAGTGACTGTGAGACTATGTGAGAGTGAGTGAGACTATGTGAGAGTGAGTGAGTGAGTGAGTCTGTGAGTGAGTGACTGTGAGACAGTGTGAGAGTGAGTGTGTTATCCCCGCGTTGCTATTAGCAACCGAGAGGGCGGGGCGGGGAGGAGGAGGGTTTGAACTGTGGCCTGTGATCCCCTCTCTCTCTCTCTCTCTCCTCCTCTCTCCGAAGGAGGGAGGGAAAGGGAAGGGAACACCAACGGCGGCGGCGGGTGGTGGTAGTTGTTGTTGTTGTTGATGATGATGATGGAGGAGGAGGAGGAGGAAAGGCGCTCGAATGGCGGCGGCCGCCTGAAGACCTGGGCCTCTAACTGTCATCCCGACAGACAGCGGCGCGAGAGGGGACCAGGCCCCGAGCCTCCCACACACCACCACAGCTGCCCTGCCCTGAGGGTGAGGAGCAGCTCCAGCCCCCCCCCCCCCGGGAACACCAACCCTAACCCCCCCCCCGGCAACCCCCCCCCCCCCCCGGCAACCCCCCCCCCCCCCCGGCAACCCTACCCCCCCCCCCCCCGGCAACCCCAACCCTACCCCCCCGGCAACCCTAACCCCCCCCCCCGGCAACCCCCCCCCCCCCCCGGCAACCCCACCCAACCCCCCCCCGGAACCCCAACCCTAACCCCCCCCCGGCAACCCCAACCCCCCCGGCAACCTACCCCCCCCGGCAACCCTAACCCCCCCCCCCGGCAACCCCCCAACCCCCCCCCCCCCCCGGCAACCCTAACCCTAACCCCCTCCGGCAACCCTAACCCCCCCCCCCCGGCACCCCCCCCCCCGGCAACCCCAACCCACCCCCCCCCCCGGCAACCCTAACCCTAACCCCCCCCCCCGCCCCCCCCCCCCCCGGCAACCCCAACCCTAACCCCCCCCGGCAACCCTAACCTAACCCCCCCCCCCCCGGCAACCCTAACCCTAACCCCCCCTCCGGCAACCATACCCCCCCCCCCGGCATCTCTACCCCCAACCCCCCCCGGCAACCCCAACCCTAACCCCCCCCAACCCCAAACCCCCCCCCCCCCCCCCGGCAACCAACCCCCCCCGGCAACCCCACCCCAAACCCCCCCCCCGGCAACCAACCCCCCCCGGCAACCCTCTAACCCTCCCTAACCTCCCCCCCACCAACCCTCCCCTAAACCCTCCCGCCATCATTATTTGACCTCAGCCCCACACCCCCCACACCGCCGCCAACACTAAATGTGAGTGAGCGAGTGGAAGGGATAAAATAAACACGAATTCCCCCCCACACCCACCACCCAACCCTCACCCCTTCTCCCTCCGCCATCGTTATTTACCTCAGCCCCACACTCCCCCCCCCCCCCCCCCCCCCCATGTGAGTCAGTTTGAGGGCCTGTGGAAGCGATAAAAAGAGGCTCTTAATCCCCCAATCCCCCCCTCCCCCCCACCTTCCCAATCCCCCCCTCCCCCCCACCTTCCCAATCCCCCCCTCCCCCCACCTTCCCAATCCCCCCCCCTCCCCCCCACCTTCTCAATCCCCCCTCCCCCCCAACTTCCCATTCCCCCCTCCCCCCCACCTTCTCAATCCCCCTCTCTCATACCCTCCCCCCCCTTTACTCCCTCCTCTCCCCCAACCCCAATTCCCCCCTCCCCCCCCACCCGCCTGCCATCATTATTTACTCCCCCCCGCCCCCATCACCACCCATCAGACGATGTTGGCCGAGCAGTCCCAGAAATGGTTCCCGACCCACGTCCAGGTGACGGTCCTGCAGGCCCGCCGGCTGTGCCCGAAAGGCAAGGGCGGCAGCAACGACGCCTACACCATCATCCAGCTGGGCAGGGAGAAGTACTCCACGTCGGTGGCGGAGAAGAGCCTCTCGCCGACGTGGAAGGAGGAGATGTCGTTCGAGTTGCCGGGCCTGCTGCTGCAGGGCACCCCCGAGAGGTACACCCTGGGTCTGGTGGTCCTGCACCGCTCCTTGGTGGGGCTGGACAAGTTCCTGGGCCAGGTGGCCATCTGCCTCAATGAGCTGTTTGAGAACAAGTCCAGGAGGCAGAAAGAGTAAGTGTGTGTGCGTGTGATGATGATGATGATAATATGTTATTAATCCTTGTATATATCTGGTGATCATCCTTGAGTCTGATCTGGCGCCTCGTCATGTCTCCGGGGCACCTCGCGCCTTCAGGGCGTCTCCGGGGCACCTTTGGGGCCTCTCCGGGGCGCCTCGCGGCTTTGGGGCCTCTCCGGGGCGCCTCACGGCTTTGGGGCCTCTCCGGGGCGCCTCGCGGCTTTGGGGGCCTCTCCGGGGCGCCTCGCGGCTTTGGGGCCTCTCCGGGGCACCTTTGGGGCCTCTCCGGGGCGCCTCGCGGCTTTGGGGCCTCTCCGGGTTTTGGGGCGTCTCACAGTGCTTCACCGGAATAGTGTAGTGATTGTGTGAATCGTGGGTGAAACCTTAACCTACCTCCAGCATCTATTTTTGAAAGTCATGCTGAAAATCATTTGCAGAAAATGTTTTTAAAATCAATCGCCATCCCTACCCTTTTTTCTATTCTTCTTAAAAACTCAGCCATTCAAAAAACATCTTTCAAAAGAAAGACCGATTATAATAATAATCCTTGCAATTGATATAGGGCCTCCTCACACCTTCGAGACGTCTCAACTCGCTTCACAGGATATACTGTAAAGCGAATTGACTGTATATTTTTGTGCGTGTGTTTTTTAGGTATTATGATAATAATACAAATAATTAATAATAGCCCTTGCATTTAATATAATTTTTTATTCGTAATAATAATTCTTGCAAAAAATGCAAAGATTATTTGATATAGCTCCTTAATTATGTCTTCGAGGCATCTCAAAGTGCTTCACAGGATATACTGTGAAGTGGATTGACTGTATATTTTGTGGAGTCTTATGTGCAGTCTGGTTCATTTATTTCCCCAACCCACCAAAAATCTTCACATTTTGTATTTGATGCATAATATTTGTTGGAAATTGAGGTGATATGTCAGTGGTTCAAGGTGATTGAATTGCTATTTTTTATGTAGTTTCACTGCATTGCACAATTTTACTGTATTAAGAGCACATTGTGTAGAAGGAAAGATTTTCAACAAGTATGTCTGTAGCACTACAAAAAAGCTGATTATGAATTGCAAGGCAGTAGTTAAATTTCAGGAGTTATTCTGATCATTTTGGAATAGGACCTAAGATTTATGACCGTCAGGACCCTGGGATTGAATCACATCCTTATATATTTGGAATTTGCTGTATTATTTTATTTCATTGCTATCCTCCCATTCCCCACCATATTTGCTGTAGGTAGGGGCCTAAAAAAGCCCCAGTGTGGATTTCTCCCTCTCATTTTTCTGACTGAAATAAGCTGTGCCTCAATAGGTTGCTGTGTACGTTGTTCGGGCAACAATAAGTTTGACAGGCTTCAAATAAATTGGCTGTTTTTTGCAGAGTCACATCCCAGGATCGTTCGATTGACTTTGGACCAGACAATTCTGCATTCAAATCCTCGTGGGCCAATCTGGGCCTTCATCTTTTTGAGGTCAATTAAAATCAGTGCTTTACTTAAAAAAAATTCATCCAGGAGAACAGGTTAGATGCACGTAAAAGGGTTCTCAGTTGCTGGACTAGCTCTGAAGTGAGATGATTGTTAAAGCCAGGCATGTCTGCAACAAATCCAAAGCGCTGTTGTTGGTTGAGCAGCCTGTCTAATTGATGAGACGTGTCCTCAGCCCTTCAAGTTGAAGTCTTAATAGATAGAGCTGTTCTAACCGGACGAGTGCTGCACTGTATCCTTACCATTCTTTCTGTGCACTTATCATTTTTCTTATGCAGTTGCATGTAAGTCGGCCATTCAACTACTAACCACATAAGGTCTTTGTGGTTTTATTCAAAATAGATTGAATCCGTTTTACTCCATAGTTAACTGAGCACAGTTTCTTATGTGTCTTTGTTGAATGCAAAGAGATCCAAGTCCACAACATTTAAAAAGATGTGAATATGCACTGCTGATACAGTAAATCGCCATCAAAAAACACACATTCCAAGCAGCCGTAAATAGCTGAAATGAGTGCACCCTTTTCCACCACACAAGTGAATTAGAATCCCATTACTTCTCTATATTCTGCCTGAGTTGCCCATTTGTTGCAGTGATTTTTTTTCTCTAGTAAATAAAATTTGATGTTCGATTAATCATGCTTACAGTCCATTCTATGTTCTTCATATCAGGAAACCTCCAAACTATTCAGGTTTCGATGTTCTGCCATTCTATACAGTCTTGTTTATCGATACTGTTTAAAAATATGAAGTTGTGCATTGCCTGTTTGTACTACACATGTTGGGCTTTCCACGCAAAACAGTAAACAGGGAGCCCTGTAGCTCAGTGGTTAGAGCACTTGCCTTGCAAACGAGAGACCTGGGTTTGATTCCCAGCAGGGCGAAACCTTGGGCAAGTTTCCTTACTCCAGATGCCTAGTAATAATCCCTCAAGAGAGAAAAATAATAAAATTGGTCACTTCAATCCGCGACTGTTTGTGAGACGCTGCTGTGCACAATTGACTGCCGTGTTTAGCCCACAAATACACAGTCAATTCACTTTACAGTCTATTCTGTGAAGCACTTTGAGACATCTTGAAGACGTGAAAAGCCCTATATCAAATGCGAGGATTATTATTATTATAAATGATTGACCAACAAAATACTACAGATAGCAAAGCTATCCCAGTTGTACACCATATTTTGTTCCAGGCAAAGGCCTCACATGGATTATTTCCAGAGCAGAGAGAAGGTGCATTGCAGCTGGGTTGAAATTTATTAAAACCAGGACACAAAAGTGGAGAGAACAAAAAGGGAAACCAAGCTGAGATGGAGTAGAACCACAGACGATAACCTTAACAGCAGGAAGCTGGAAAAGAAAAGTTGAGTTACTTGATCATTAGAAGGGATTGGGGTGAAATTTCAAGAAAGGTACTTACTCTTCAAAACAATCAGCCATTCATAAAGCCTTATTAACCAGTTTTCTTTAGGTTTTAATGAACAAACTGCTCTTTCTGTCACGTATAATGATTAAAATCTGTAGGATCTTAGGGTCTAAGTTTTTTTTCACCCTTCAGCCTAATTTGACTGAGTGGTCAAGATGAATTGGGAAATTAAAGCGTAGAAAGCTGCAGGTTTCTGTGAGGGGTATCCTCACCAAAACAAATCAGGGGCTTAAACTAATCCCCTTTCTTATTTTCTCCATTCTCAATCACAGGTGCAGTCAGGAGAGCTCCTTGAAAGAGAGTTAACATACAGTGATAGCAGTATGCAAAAGATGACCGTTTAGCATAGGGCCAACCTGTCACACTGCAGTTCTCTCTTTATAACAGGCATTTCTGGGGGCTGAGAGGCAGAGACTGTTACCACATAGACCATTTCCCTCCAGTGCTAGATTCGGGTGTATCCCACAATGATGAGCATTTCCTGCTGAAATTAACTTGGGCAGCGTCAATCCAGTTTCTCCACAATGAGTTTTAGCAATTTAGCATGTTGGTGGTTTTACTTAGACAAGCAGGAGATGTGAAAGGTGGACACATTTTCAGGAGGAAGCACTCTTGCTGTAGCGAGAGAGAACAGGAGAGAAAATTAGAATTTTATTTATTCTACGTCCAACTGATCTTGACTTGATCTGACTTGGAAATGCTTGACACTGACATTGTCGTGCTCCGCCACCGTCAAGCGCATTGGGGTGCAACTCTGGGTGAGGGACGCTATATAAATACAAGGTGTTGTTGACATTGGGTTACAAAATTGGAAAAAGTGATTCTTCTACAGGAGGGATATCTTTTACTTTAATGAGTACCACAAACAAAAAAAGTTGTGAAGCTATGCTAGCAGGAATTTAGCCATTATGTATGAATCATGTAAGTGGTGTAAGTGACCATGCAGGAAAGTAAAGTATATGTATTTAGCATCCAAATGTGCTTCTGACCTATAGTACAGTATCTTGGTTATGCTTATTTTTAAAATTCCATATGTTTTTATACATCTTCTCATTATTCAGGGCAACTTTGTAACACCATACATGGTTTGATTATCTTTCACTTTATTTATTGTTTATTTTCTAAATAAAATCTACAGAAATCAAAGCCAACACCCAAAATAAGGAGAGAGGCTCAATTCTGAGACCAGAATCTTATGAAGAGAGTAGCTAACTATCACTAACTATGTATTAAACAATATGTATGAGTATATCAGTATACCAAACACCTGGCAAACATGACTACGAGAGAGAGAGAGAGAGAGAGAGAAGATGGAGATATCTAGGTATTCATGTCATTTCTAAAGCCGAAAATAAGACTCCCCCTGCAATTAATTGGCAGTATTGAATAAATTCATATTTTATACGTATTTTTGTTGATTGTACTTAATGTGAACATTGAAAGATGCTTTTGAGTACATTTTGTTTTTCCAATAGAAAGTACAGCGCCACTACATAGAGTTGCTCATTTTAAAGGAATTGTGTATTGGTACTCTGGTATGTACTCTACCATTAGCCTGTGTTGGATCGTATGCTTTACTGCTGACCAATGTTGGATCAGGAGCCAATCCAAGATATTGATTTCAGTTTCATTGCTGTGATGGTATTTTGTGCACTCACTGTAAAACCAGACAGACTACATTACTGATCTGGGAGATGTGGTTGAGTTTGCAATAGTAGATAAGATTACATCAAGGTGGGTGTTTCAGCAACAGGGCCGGGATTCACTATATAACTAGTCGCTTCACTATTTATTAGGGCCGTGCTTTCAGAATTCTGTGCCAAATAGGATACTTTGCCTTCAGCTTTCAAGAGAATTAATAAGGTGCTAAAGATACAGTACTTTTCAGGGTAGATCAAATCTGTTTTTCTTATTAGAAATGTCTTATCGTTCTGTTTGATGATGTGATTTGAGATCGTATTAATTATACAATCTTGACTTTTCATTGTATATATTAATAGTGATTTATTGTTTGTTTTTCTCCTCCCTGAATTATGACAATTGGGGAGTAAGGTTCCCTTAACTTTGCCT